GGAAGGTGAGCAGTTTGTAAAGATATACACAAAAAGCTCTCGAAGTGATGCAGCTGAAGGAGAATGGATAGCCGCCTCAGTCATGCAGCGATCCTACTCGTCATCAGACTCGAGCAAACCACGCGCGAGAGCAGCAGCTTCAAAGGATGGATGCACCACATCACCCAATGTTCTTAAAGACTCAAAACTGGTAGGACCACGAATAGTAAGCAGCAGCAATCGGAGTGAGTACAGCGCCATATTGGACGGTGATGCAAAGTAAATGCGAGAAACAATGTTTTGAAATGGTGGGCGGGTGTGGCGGATCCATGTCTTATTTCCTTTATCCCAAGTATAGTGGCAAGGAATCTCGGTATAAAGATACTGTCGAGCCTGTTCATCGCAGGAGCAAAGGTCAAAAAGAGTGGTAAGTTCTGTTCTTGATGCGTTGTTACGTGCGGCTGCAAGACCGACACGCGAATCGTTTGCATGGAAAGTGACAGATTGCTGGTCAGGAAGATGCAATTCTAACTGGGAGACGTAGGGATGATGCATATGTACTGGATATTCGAAGGTACACCAAATTGCCTCGCATGGGCCGATATACCGTGCATTCTGGTATTGTGTCACCTCGTCTATCGGCTCGCGCTCAGCATTTCCATCCGTAGCAACACTGGCTCCAACAACAGCAGTAGTAGATCGCACTGCTCCTGGCTGCCCAGCTCTAACAGTCTCCAATTGCGCTCTGTCTGATCCTTTGGTGATGTACTTGCACAAATACTTGATAGCACGTGCAGAGGTACAGATCTCGACATTGATATGAGCATTGTACTTTTGGCACAGGTACGGGTTATATGGTACGATGTGAGAATTGTCAGCAACAAAGTTGGATCGGTGGAAGTGGTGGTGACGATAAAGGTTTTCACATCTGCGATAGATCGGATAACCATCTCTGCTCACACGCGTTTCAATAACAAATGACTTAGGATATCCTTGAGAGCAACGTCCGTCTTTCATGCAAACAGCATCAGGTTGAGAATTTCTACATGGGCCATGTATCATTGACCTTGTCACTGTGGCGTAAAGTTGAGGCTGTGTGACAGGATCTGGCAACTCAGCACAGATAAAATGGTCGTAATCAGAAGGATTGCGAGGACGGTCTTCATGGTGCAAGATAAGTAGGATGTGGACATGTGGTAAGCCACGTTTCTGAAATTCAACAGTTGCCACATAACCTTCGACGCGACCAAAGCAACTGGACTCTTTGATATGAGATAGCATCTCAGTGATCTTCATGTGGAACACCCTGGAACATATGTCAGGGCGATCAAACGCCTGCTGACCTGGAAGAAGTTCAGCTTGGATTTCCAGCTATTGTGGATTGCAGGTAAAAGTGATGAAGAGTGTGGAATTGCCTCTTTGACGAATGATTGCCAATCCATCCTGGAGCATCTGCTTCATGTACCGTGGACCCCCTGTGAAAGAAGATGGCAAAATAATTGATCGACCAATCTGACGTGGATCTACATCATCACCAATACCGTTGTACACCTCAGAACGTAAATCACTTTGATTGTTGATAATATACTGAAGGCGCGAATACTCGATGCGTGCATAGTTGTCAACAACTAATTGTTGGAAAAGACGATGATAATGGTGCTGGTAGCTCGTGCGGTCCCCGTCACGGACCATGAGCATATAGGAGCAGAACTCGAGCAACGTAACAGTATTAGTCTGACGGTCGGCACTTCCACACTGCATTCCAGCAAACCAACCATCATCAAAACGGAAATATAAGCACGTAGTGGAGGGGCATATACGATGCATTGAGGGAACTGACAGTTCGAAGACCCAACTGACGATCGCGGATGATAATGTCATGCGGTGATGATGCACCATCCACTGTGTCTTCGACGATCATTGCAGCGACTTTGGGATAACTTTGCTGATCATAGCGTCTACCCATCTCATGCGCAGAACGAATGACAACTTGGAGTGTTCTGATAGGGGTGTCACGGTATGATTCAGCAGCATTCATAAGGGTCTGTGCGTACGGGTTGCATCTCTCCATAACGCCCTGAAGCACAGCTATCGTCTCACTGTTGAGTCCAGTGAACAATGTTTGTCTTCTCATCAGTTGCTCTTGCGTATCGGCAAAATATATTTGAGCAAAGTTGGCTGATTGCTACTGCTCTAGTCGTAAAGCACCCATGCAATGGTACATCGTGCCATTTATGCGGAAAGTTGAAACACCTTGCGATCCGTCAGCTAAATTGCGATCATAGTTTGCTCGAATAAACGTAAATGCAAACATGTTGTTATAAGCGCGAATGTTAGTGAAGAAATCGTCGTTTCCGCTGGTCAACAGGTCGATGATTTCTTGTGGCGGAGGGCGAGGGATAGGTAACTGTATTTTTCCGTGAGTGCAGCAAATACTGAAACGTGGGTTTGAGTTTGAAGAGCTGGCAATGTCCTCCTCAATCCACATACGTGCCTGACAAAACGTACAAACAGCAGCCATGCGAGAAAGCACATGTCGGTGAAACTTTTCTCCCAGTGTAAAACAAATGCTGGGGCCAAACACATCTTCAGGAACGAAAGGAACAGTGCACGCTATTTGATACTGTGCCCCATGCTCAGATCGGATGTTTGCATCATTGAAAGGACAGTCCTCAGAAGTTCGTCGAGAGTGGCCAGGCGCATTACAGCTCACACGGACACGGACATTCCCTACAATGCACACATAAGTAATGTGCTTCACAAATACACAACACACATAGCTCTAGATACTGCATGGTTAGATTCTATACCTTGATTGTTCCGATTAAGGGGGCAATCGCGATGCATTACTCGCTGATGTGTGGTGGACGCACAACGGCAACGTTGGCGCTGACTTGCATGAGAATCAAACTGCTCAAAGATAATATTCATGTCCTACATATATACAGTTAGTGTTAAGAAACAACCAACAAAGAAATACATCTTGAAGACGATATCTTGTAGACGATTTGTAAGATGTTCCCTCCCACAGATCCTCCTGTGGGGCGTTTCCCCAAAACTGCCCGCACCCCCCTCCGGCGCCTCTATCTAAGTCTTGAGCAAACTCGCTTTGCTTGTTTACTAATAGCTATAGCCACCAAACACGCTATTAAAGATAACAAACATACATCATTATCAATTCTACGGCGTACGTTACACTCATTCAAAGGACAATCGTGATGACTTTCGGTCAGATGGCTAGTTGAGCCACAAATACAGGTAAGCACGTTTATTTGGTTTTGGTTACTCTGTTAAAGTGGGAAATATATGGTTATTATTTGCTTTATACTCAAAATACTCAAACAATTGTTCATTTGAAACTAATGCGCACTGCGTGCTGAACAATGTTGTCAGATCTTCTAAGAAGAATCTAATATGCGGTGTCATACTTGTTGCAAACTCATTTTAAAAGAGAAAATAGTGGTGTAAGAATTCAGTGGGCAGAAGGAAAAAGTGAGGGAAGAGCAGTGGTTTATCCCAGTTTCAGCACAAAAAAAATTATACTGACAGCCGGGGCTTAGCAGCATCACAATTTCCAAAACAGGATCAGGATTTCCAAAAATGGGTAACTATAGTAAGCACCACTTCTCTTTTAATAGTAGATTAGCTGGAAAAGACTGACGGCGAGGAGAAAGAAGAGGGAGAGAACACTCATCTGAGGTAAGTACTCTCTAGCAATATACAATACCAGTGATATGTTATTGCTGGTGACGTTAATGTATCAAGAATTAACTGATAGTTTTTCAAATCTCTTTTCTTTTTCATTGCCATTGACTGTGGCATGCAATAGAGTGTACAAAAGAAGACGAGCAGAATTGTAGTAGGACTCTCTCTCTGTCTCTCTCTGTCTTTCTCTGTCTTTCTCTGTCTCTCTGTCTCTCTCTTGCTCTCTGTCTCTCTCTTGCTCTCTTGCTCTCTCTCTCTCTCTCTCTCTCTCTTTCTCTCTGTGCTCTCTTTCTTCTCTCTGTGCTCTCTTTCTCTCTTTCTGAATAAAGAATGTTAATTTTGAACTATTATCATGCTATAATTACTATCGTATTATCCTTTTTAATCATGTTTTTCCGTGTTGATTGGGATTTGAGCTAGCTTTTGATTGTTATAAAACGAAGCTTTTCAGTAGCACTACAACAACAAATCGTAGACATCCTCATACACCACGGTGTCGGCCCTTTAATTGTCATTCTTTAGTTCCGGTCTGTGAGGCCTTAATTTCTTATCCTTTATTCACCTCTATATAAGTGTTTTTTCAAGGCTGATTAAAGGATGAGGTTAAAGTTTTGTTCAAGTTTCTAGTCTTTAATTCACTTCGCAATTTTCCTGCAGTACAAAAAGCCCCCAGTATATGTATTATCTGCAAGAAGAAGAGAACCTCATGGCAGTTAATCAACTATGTACTACATCAGATAAGCACTCTGATTATATGTATTCGCTACAAAGAAGGGAAGTCTTTTAGAATTTCCTTTCACATATACCAACACCACTGCGGGAAAATTACAAAGTGAATTAAAGACTAGAAACTTGAACAAAACTTTAACCTCATCCTTTAATCAGCCTTGAAAAAACACTTATGTAGAGGTGAATAAAGGATAAGAAATTAAAGCCTCACAGACCGGAACTAAAGAATGACAATTAAAGGGCCGACACCGTGGTGTATGAGGATGTCTACGATTTGTTGTTGTAGTGCTACTGAAAAGCTTCGTTTTATAACAATCAAAAGCTAGCTCAAATCCCAATCAACACGGAAAAACATAATTAAAAAGGATAATACGATAGTAATTATAGCATGATAATAGTTCAAAATTAACATTCTTTATTCAGAAAGAGAGAAAGAGAGCACAGAGAGAAGAAAGAGAGCACAGAGAGAAAGAGAGAGAGAGAGAGAGAGAGAGAGCAAGAGAGCAAGAGAGAGACAGAGAGCAAGAGAGAGACAGAGAGACAGAGAAAGACAGAGAAAGACAGAGAGAGACAGAGAGAGAGTCCTACTACAATTCTGCTCGTCTTCTTTTGTACACTCTATTGCATGCCACAGTCAATGGCAATGAAAAAGAAAAGAGATTTGAAAAACTATCAGTTAATTCTTGATACATTAACGTCACCAGCAATAACATATCACTGGTATTGTATATTGCTAGAGAGTACTTACCTCAGACGAGTGTTCTCTCCCTCTTCTTTCTCCTCGCCATCAGTCTTTTCCAGCTAATAATAATAATAAGTGTGTTGTAATAATGATAAATGAATATCATTTTGTACAAAATATAAGGCATAGGAAATGTTGTTTTGTAACTTACACTTATGCATTTGTGGAATTGGTGCTTGTTGCCCCATTTGTACTGCAACAACCACCTCGTTGCCCACGAATTGATGCATTGGTCAAAGTGAACATCAAATGCTTTGCAATTGACCTCTAGCATCAAAGCATACTTTTTTTGTATGCTAGGGTCAATTGAGCTCCATGCCATTGCAAGAGAAATGCCCTCCTCAGTGATGATCTCTTGGATGATCATCGTCGTTTCGAGCATTATGTTCGTCATGGCGTTGCTGCATAGCTCTTCTCCGTAAACGGCAAAGAAGTGTAAGGCAATGAATTGCCTCAGAACGTCTGTGCTCAAATCTTGAGCCTGGCGACGGTTGTTCACCACAACGAACGGGCGGACAAGTGTTTGTCTTGTGGTATAGTGCCTGCCACCTAGAAACGTAAATTTTTAGACCAATTTTCAATGTTTTATTTCAACTTTTTTGGCTTCATAGAAAGATAGAGAGAGGCTCAAAGAATAATTCTATGAAACGTTTTTGTATACATACGAGCACAAAAAAATGAGAAATAAAGTGTTGAAGTTGGTGTCGATTTCAAAATTTAGCAGAGGATTTTGTCAGAATGTCCACCCTACTATACACTATAGTATATGACATTGAATCGGCGATTTCCATATTAAAAAGGTAGTGTAACATTAGTGGTAAGCATTGGTGCAATACTTACCTCAGCCTTCCAATCAACATTGACTGTAATGGTGCCAGGTATATTATAAGTAGGATGACAGTTTTATTTTTCCTTCTTTTCCAAAACATTCTATACAATGGGGAGACTCAACAAGTACCAGAAGAACCTTAAAACTGTGCAAGAGTCAAAGATCACAATTAAGTAAATTTTTTGTGCATTCAAAGAGAACTGTCAGTTTCTAATAATCATGTAAGAAGAATCATGCAAGAGTAGTTTGTTTATTTAAGTCATCCTCTGAGAAAGGACTCACTGGATGAAAAGCAGAAAAAATATAAGTCCCACTAGCAAATTTTCGATGAATAAATATCACTTAACTAAAAATGGAAATTTATAAAGGTGGAATCTTAAATTTTTGAAATGTCCCTCTTTACTGTCTACATAGATACCCTTTCTATGTAATTCTATGTTGCTACCAACATAAAGTCGACAATACTACTGTCTCCATATCTCTCTCTCCCTCTCTTTGTTTCTTCTTTACTAATGTTTCCAATCTACTCTTTCATTAACTGACAGCACCACTATTACACCACCTTCTGTAATGTAAAAACCATCTAAACATACTGGTTCTTGTTCAGTAGGCTCCTGCCTATCTCCTTGCTGAAGGTGTTCAACGATTCGATCCACTGTTACTTGGATTGTGTCGACTTTCTCTTGCAGCTGGATGGTGACTGTCTTCGGCTCTTGCAGATCAGCGTCGACCTCCTCGTTTACTTCATCAATTCTTGTTATGAAGCTCTTGACCAAGGAGATTTCGGCAAACAATGCTTTGGTTGTGATGGCTTTGTTAGACATTGTTGAAGTTCAAGGTACCAAGGCAAAATAAAATAACGCGAGGGAGAAAGGAGGGAAAAAACGAGATACAACAAACAACTATCTTTGAATCAGCGACATCGCTACCATCTTATTAATTATTTCGCGTCCTCAATTTTTTTACGATCCAGCATATAACACACTATAATGTCTCACTCTATTACAGTATTAGTATTGTTATTTCAACCATCTCATAACAGATTTTCTACGATTTGCTGTCATCATCAGTGTTATTTAAAAGAAGATGTTTGTTTGTCATACTGTAATACGAATCTATATATACAACAATCATCGATGATATGACAGATGTTTTTCCTTCTTTCTTTTGCGACACGACACTCTTTATCATTATAAATAAACAACTGGCAAAACGTTCAAAAACATCAGGAGAAGTGAAAGCGAAAGCAGCGCTCCAAAAAAAGTCTGTGGCTGGTGCAGAAAACCTATCATTATGTCGGTTTGTTCGGCGCACACCATCATTTGTCGTCGAAAACACTGGCAAGGAAAAGGGCGCCATCCCAAAGCTGTCACTGGATCATCGTCTTCATCGGCTGATGTATTGTGTGTTGAAAATTTATATTGTTACTACATACGGTACTTGCACAAATGTCATATGTGTTAATAAGCCTGATACCTTGTAATAGAAATGAACAACCATCTCAGCCTCTATTACCTTCACTATGAACGAACCATCATCAGATTTGGTGCCATCCAGTGCAGACAATAGCATGTACACATCTGTTGCATCACCAAATAACACGATATCTCCAAGTGCAACTCGTGATGGCACATCGCCGCCGTCATCCACTTCAGAAGGACGAAGAACTGACGGATCAAATATGGGCGATGATGTTATTCTAGACGATTGCGATTATGGTGAAGATGGTAAAAAATACGGAGATTCTTATTTTCTGTACAATTCAAAAAGAATTACTAATTACTTGTTGTTTTACTGTAATAGGCAACATACCTATTAGTACTACAACATCGGATGGCCCAAAAGTCTACGCATTCCCTACGGATGATTACAGCCAAGATCAAGTGATGATGTGGAGTGTAATGTTGCAACGTATTGTGAATAACAACAATATCACGAGACGAGGCCATGTCGAAATCCTCGGTTTTTGTAACCGCTTGATATCTCATTTCGATCAAGGTATAAATATCAAAAGATTATACACGCCAACTCTCCTCGTTTTATATATTATACATGATAGATACTTACCTTATTCCCTCTTTAAGATCACGAGCACTTGTTTACTCCATACAAATCGAAAAAAGGAGCGGAAAAGTTCTATCCCATGGAAACACAACTATTTGATGTTTGTATCAATGGTTGCAAGATGTACGACACTGATGACATGGCTACATATTGCTCCCATTGCAACGAAGTAAGATATGTTAGTGATAACAAGAAAGCACGTGCTATAATAGAAATGCTTCCAATTGGTGAACAACTAGCGTACATGATTCACGATGAAGAGACACGAGAAAAGTTACTGTACAGGAGCCGTTTCCGACATAGGCATGGTGTATACAACGATATATTCGACGGTGGACTGTATCAAGAGCTCGTAATGGGACGAAATTTTTTTCAAGGTGAATTGGATGTCGCTCTTGCATTATATGTGGATGGCTTCCAACCGTATACCAACATAAAACATACAATGACCATTGTACATGTGGTTGTGTTGAATTTCGATCCTAATACTCGGTAAGCAGCCATACTACAATATCTGAGCAGGACTAAGATTGATTGTTCCATTATGCCTATATTAACCTTAACATCGTCCATGTAGGTATACAAACAAATACATGCTTCAAATATGCTTGATCCCGGGTCTATTGGCTCCAAGAGATATGACGAGTTTTCTTCAGCCTATAATAAGAGAGCTACAGCACTTGGGCGAATACGGGATGGAAGTCAAGGTCGGAAACACCAGTCTGCACGCAAAGGTGCATTTGCTGCTTGCCACTGGTGATATGCAGGCAGTTAAAGTATTAGCATGCCATATGGGACCTACTGCAACATATGGCTGTCGCATATGTCTTGTTGAAGGGGTACACCCAGTTGAAGGAGGAAAAGGCGTGTATTTTCCTGATTTCAGCAACACTGCCAAAAGATGGAGGAAAGCTGATGGTTTCAAGACGAAGGGGAAAAAGGTATATTTTCTTTTTTATTATGATGTGTGCTCGTTATCAATCCACGTAAATCATACCCATGTGCTATAATTAATGTACCCACTTCCATACTTTTGCTACTATAGAAAGAACTAGATGGTCCGAGTCCTTTCACTGTGTTCCAAACTTTCCTCTCTCCAGATTTCTTTGGTCTTGAAGAGCTTCATCTTCTGTCGCATGGCATAGCGCACTAGTTCTTCGATTTGCTGCAAGGAAAATACGATCATGCATCAGCTACAAGACAGAGCCCTTTTGTTATCGATCTTGACGCTGTAATGAAACAAATGGAAAGCTCTCGTATGGATATCCCGACGGCGTTCGACAGCACATGGCATAGTTTGACCGACAAAGGGAGGGTCAAAGCCATCGACTGGTTAGAGTTCCTTTTGTACGTTGTCCCCACTCTGGTTGTGCCTTAAATCGATGATAGCGTTGCCAAAGACGCTGCGATGTGCCTCGTGAGAGCATGTCAGAGAACACTGCAGTTTTCTCACACAAGTGACGATATCGCCAATATAGAAAGGTAATTATCCGTACAAAAACATAACGAAAGATAAATACATAAAGAAGACAACAACACTGCTCGAAGGTGTTTTATACGTGTAGTGACATCGAGTTCTGGCATTACTACTTACGCAGTCAACTCAGCACAAAACAAATGAACCTAGAACGTTGTGACGACAGCGAAGACGAAAGTAGCGTCAATAGCAGTAGCAACAGTAGCAGCATCAGTGACGATAATGAGTATATAGCACTATCCGTTCGTGTATTCAATGCAAATCAGCATTACCTCACACACATTCCTGATATTACGAAGGCTGGCATCATTGCGTTACTGTTCATTCCAGTCGTTGGAGAGGATGACTGGTGTGTACTCAAAAATAATAACCACGTACTCGGTGCCTGGTCAGCAAGCTGCGAACATCATGAAAAAATTGGCAATGGCACGTTATCTCGATGCGGCAATGATAGCAGCATTGATACAGAAGAAGAAAAAAAGGTGCACGACAGTCGACGAAATGGGCTATATTTTCACGCCTAATCCAACTAACCCCTTTTCTCTAGAAATCTGGGGAAACTTACATAATGCCAGTTTCAGGTCATTGAGAACACTTGCAGGACTCAGTTATACCAAAGTCAGGGACGCGCTTGTAGCCTATATGAAGCGCAAAGGAATAAGGTACAGCATTTTGAGCGAAGATTTCAAGTACACAATGGGTCGGCTCTGGAGAGACCAGAAAACTTTTGGTAGCGTACTTACCCACCATGGTCGAATGCGTGTTATGTACTATGTGAGATTAAAGCTTGATGATATTGACATGTAAGAAAACTTACGTTTTTATAGAAAAAAAAATGATGACTTGTTGTGCTTGTTATGTTGACCCATTCTTTTCCCTTTTCAGAAATGCGTCAGCAGGTCGTGGCTCGGTTTTTGCTCGCTGTTCCCAGTTTTACTTCGGGAAGGTGTACTTCTATTTTGTGTATAACCAAGGCAATGACGACCGAATATTGGCAGCTGTTGGGATCTTCAATCCCACAATCGATAGTGACAGCGGGTCTGTTTACTTGACGCCATCAGCAATGGCCGCTGAACAGCTGTTCGTTGTCGATGCTAACGAGATCTGCAACTACGCAGGTCTTTTGACGGGAACGTTTGGCAGGTCCAAACGCCACTACTGGATTTGGCCGGGTATGGTTTCAATATCGAAAGAGAAAAGTGCTTTTGAACATGGAACCTTGAAGAACATTTTTTAGAGTAAATTTTTACAAGTCATGCTACCCTTTGCTTACCCTTTATAGACATGTGTTTATACTTTAATCGCGCTCGCATGCTCATAAACAAAAATCAAAAAATTTTCGGCCTGATTTAAAGGATCAACCTTTTCTTTCTCCTTTACTGAACCCTTAATTAACGACTGGCCCTTGACTTAACCTTTAGAATCTTTGCTTAGTCTTTGTCGGCCTTTATTTCAAGGATCATTTTTTCTGCAGTGCATGTATCAATCCATGTACCCCAAAAAGGTGACAGGTCTCGCACTACCACTGTGCTGCATCACCAAGTTTCCCTACAGCCTTTGCTTCAAAAGATCACATGTACTACGTACAAACATATACAAACCACAAAAATGCTGCTCTTGTGCTCATAAGTGATATCATGTCGAAATCAATTGGATCCAATAAAGGATGTTACAATGCATTTTATGTATACAAACATTCTCAAAGCGGATTATAAGGCATCACATGTTTTACGATGCTGATCGAATGCGTTTATTCTTTATATAGTTGTAAATGACGATTGCGATTATGATGAGGTTCAAAAAGTTAAGGTGTAGTAATGAAGTAGCACAATATAGAATGCGTTCAGGGAGCAATCAACGATCGCAGTTGATGCTCTTCTCTGCACATATACTTGGATTTCTTCTATGCATTATATCTTATACTTCCTTTTCTTATGCACGGCCTGTTACTACAATCATGGCTATTGCACAGACCACTAGAGTGCCCACTCGATAATTTGATCACTTTGGTCACAGCCGTAAGTGATCGAGTTATCGAAATATCGAGTTATGAAATTGGGTCTCCGCTAAGAAAAGAAAGAAGAAAGTATATTCATGTTAACTCTGGACTCTGATGTATGATCCGACACTGATCGCGGGTTCGATTCCGCGTTACTAAGCATTTCTTTTGATTTATACTTGTTGATATATCACAGCCAAGTGATTGATGATCGAATTATCGATTCGTCGATACTTTACTGCTTACCAGCCTGGTCATTTGAGGAAGTGATCGAATTATCGAAAATATCGAGTTATCAAGTATGTATCGAATTATTGAGTGGCACTGTACTTTCTATAACGCTTTGATATCCAGTGCTAAGGGAACGCCAAGTGGATACAACTTCGTCATGCTTCATAACCTCAAGGTGTGAGGTGGTAGGTAAAATTGGAATATAGAAAGATGGATCAAGTGTCGGTCGGTGGAATCGACGCGCTACTTGCATAATCTGTTGCAATTGTTTGGATCGGATCTTGTGAGTGTGCATGTGATGAGTACTTTTCTAATTTTTTTTCTTCGGTTCACTGGATTCACTTTGTCTTCCTCCTTCTTCTTCTTCTTCCTCTCACTACGTAAAAGATACAAGAGCCAGTTTCTATATATGTCGATTTTTATTTACGGTTTTGTTTGAAGGTGTTCCTTGTAGCTCTCAGTCTTTCCTTTTTACATTCTCCTATGATCCATTTTGGTAATACTAATGCACGCCTTCATTATAATACTGATATCCTGAGAACTATCACTCCAATAAAATCTGAATACAAGAAAGAGCTGCTTAACAAATATCAAGCACATCACATCACACAACAACAAGAGCTCTACTACAGCAGCCTCGCAATTACTACAACATTCTAGCACTTTGTATAAAGCCAAGGACACAGCGATCCAATAACTACGCAGCAACAACTCTACAAACTTCTGGCACCTTCCAAATTGCCAAGGAGTAGCTATTATTAGCATTTTTCCTAGACTTTCCAATTGATTCCACATCCATAACCATTGGATGCGAGTACTTTCCACAACCTTCGAGCATCATCTTTGATGTTCAATTATTATATATTGGATAATCCGATGTTTGCATACTCGACTAATGGGAGCCGATTCTGCGTCCTGGACAGCTACACCAAATCCTTCTAGGAGGTTAATTATAACTGCTGCATTCAGCAATAGATAAGAAGTAATATACCTGCTTCAAGCACTTATTTTTTGGGTAGCTTATATTTCATGAGCCTTAGTTCCTCTCTGCATTGCTTATATTTACTGTCTTTCTTTCACCGCGACTGTTGTTACCTTGGAAACACAAGGAGCAGTTTTATGTAAATGTATGGTCTTTGCTAATAGAAACTAGATGTATAAAGACTGATACCTGCTCAGTACCAAAAAGTCAAGAGAGGTACTGTTAAGGTACTGATTGAACCTCCAGTAAACAGCGGTCGTAACTATAACGATCCTCAGGTAGCGAAATACCTTGGCCACTATTTATGGTCGTGCATGAATGGTGTAACGATACTCTTACTGTCTCCAAGATGAGCTCAGTGAAATTGAATTATCCGTGCAGATGTGGATTACCATTAGCTAGACGGGAAGACCCTATGCAGCTTTACTGTAGTTAGTCATTGTGTGCTTATAATTAAGGTGTAGAATACAAGGGAGTCGATTAGACGTCAGTGAAATACCTTGACTTAATTAGGAACACGCTATACCAAATTTTTGGGACAGTGATTAATGGGCAGTTTAGCTGGGGCGGATTTCTCCCATATAGTACCAGAGAAGTACGAAGGTCGGCTTGAATTGGATGGAAACCAATAGGCTAAAGAGAGCCTAATTAAGTGTAATGGCATAAGCCGGCTTAACTTTAAGACTGACAAGTCATACAGATACGTAAGTAGGTCATTTTCGTAAAACTCGGGGTCGTGAACCAGGCGTATATGTCTGTTGAGAGACGATTTTTGGCCATATGCCTTGCCACGGGTATCGCAACTTATTGGATTTAATGAGCAAGCTTTCCTGAGAATCAAGGATATTTTATAAGAGATATTTACATGTGGTTTTGCTTGATGCCATGTTGGACAATAGTATTGAAATAAAAATATTTATTTTTATTAAGCCACCAAAGCTTTTACAAGGAAAATCGATCAATCACCGTGAGTCGTGTAACTCAGAAGAGGCACAAAATAAAGAAACGTAAAAAAATAGCAGATTCCAAAATGGCTGGACTGCGAAAAAAAAAATTTAGTAAACAAATCAGGCGGGCCTGCCTTATATCGATCCTTTTACTGCCACTACTATTGTACCTTTTTCCCAATGTCCTTATTTATTGACCACGCAATCCGAGTTCTTCGCGAGCAAGTTACCGAGCAGCCTCAACCATACTCCACAGTTTGTCCTGTTAAGTTTGAGATGGCGCGTACGCAATTTCAGAAGTGGATAGAAGATGAAGAGAAACGAGTGGCGTGCAAGTTTGTTAGCAAGACCAGTGGAATCTACAGCAGTGAGACTGGTCGTAATGCTCAATTTATTGCTACATTTGGTCCACACGATGCCCCACGTCAAGAAACACAAGTGGCTTCGTCGAACGAACAGGGAAGGGCCCCTAAGAGAGGTCGTCCGGCAACGATTTCCTTCAACCAGGTATCTCCTGTTGCCTATAGTTAGCAGTAAGATTTGTCATAATCATCACTATTAAGCACATAGTGTATTATAGCATTTCGTTTGCCATCGTGCGGGTGCCCCTCTTACCAGCCCTGCGAGGAACAGAAATGGTCGCCTTCCCTGTGGCTGTACAGCCAGTATAAAAGTTCGATCTACGAGTAAAGCTCCGGATATGGTTACGATCAATTACTTCTGGAAGCACCAAGGGCATCAGCCAAACAGTGTTGATGATTTGCGCACTGCCCCTATATCAAGGGAAACCAAAGCGCTGATTGAGCGGTTGGTAGAACAGGATTTGACGTGGACTAACATCAAGAGTATGATTCGTCTTGATAAGAACCGTTTAGGTCAGATTCTCTCTGGGGATTTAACAACATTCCTCATTTGCTGCGCCTTTCATATCAAGAAGTTTATTATGCGATGACCAATGTCATGAAGAGGCGGTCATATCTCTCCCCCATGTTTGAGGATAGCCTTCTTCTCTGGGGCAGCAAGATCGATGAAGAAAATGGCCATTAGACATCCAAGAACTTGTCTACCTACCAAGATGGCATGTTTCCGCTCGCTTTTATGTCTGATTGGCAATTGACGGTAAGAAACAGGAACATGATAATTCGACGAGTCGATACAGAATGAAGCTCTTTATTGATATGGTATCCGCTTCCTTGTCTTTTTTATGCTATTTTATTTAGGAGCTTAACATCAATGGCGGTACTGTTTGCCTCGATTCGACTCATGGCACATGTGTAGATGGTGTACAATCGCAGTGCTACCTGTATACACTTGTTGCTCGCTGCCAGGAGACAGGAAAAGGTGCCCCACTTTGCTGGATGTTGACGAACTCGGACTCGCAGTACCCTGTCGAATTCTGGCTCAAATGGCTGAAGCAAGACGTACATTATCAGCCACGGTGCATTATGATCGATAACTCAGATACCGAAATGGCTGGTATCTGGTCTGCTTATGGTGACGACGTGCAAGTGATGATTTGCCATTGGCATATCAAAGGTGCTTGGCGTAAAAATGTTGCGAAGAAGGTGTTTGTTCGTCCAGGTGATTTAACACACTCGCGTGAGGTGAAGATGATGTGGGATGAAGCCTTCAACAGGTTGGATGATATGCTACGAGCTTCCACTGAAGAGGGATCTAGCTGGTGTACGACGAGCTGCAGTTATTCTGTATGGAATACGAAGAGGATTGGGATATGGCTGCTCTTCAGGTTTATTTTGACCAAGAGTATTTACCTAAGAAAGAAAAATGGAGTAATGCGTGGCGTCAGGTAGGTGTTCAAGCATTGATCCAAGTAAGTAGAATTTGTAGTGATATTTAAAGTGTTTATTATATTTTTTATCAGTTTCAAGGTCATATGAACACAAACAACTACGTTGAATCATGGCATCGTACCCTGAAAGAAGCTTACCTTGGAAAACTTAAGCGTCAACGTGCGGATGTCCTCATGTACATCCTTTGGGATAATGTATTCCCGGATGTGATGGCATCCCATGTACAAGCACAGCTCCAGTTCCAAGCAATAGTCAGCAATCAAGGTGAATTGGCGCGTTACGATGCTGCAGCTGCAATTCCAGGTAAGTTTTGGTAATTAGGATAGTATAAGCACATGTACATAGACATATATTTAGATATATAGATTGTATTTTTAATGAATAAAGAATATATTTTATTCTTCAAATTGCATACTGTCTAGGAATGTCGTAGATACTGTTGCGTTTGATTATGTAGACTGGCAGGATGGTGGCCATGTTACGGTTAGATTTTTACAAATCCGGAAAACGACTTGTATATAATCACTACTGAAGACAATACTATGGTGCAATGTCGCTGCCCTGACTTCATCCAACGAAGTTCAACATGCAAACGCATGTATTTGCTTAAAAGGGTAGAAAATGTTTCCTTGCCACCTGTGCACCGGTCATCCGCTGTCCCCACTTCCACCGCCACAGAAACAGAAGCAAGCCCATCCCAAGAAGAGCTGTTTCAGCAATCTTGCAAAGGTATATAATATATATGATGTGCGCTATCCATATTGTCACTAACTTTGTAATAGATTCCAGGTGACCTTCCAGAAACTATCTGAGCAAGCAGATAAAGTTAACGCAAGTAACTATATGCCCATTGCTGCCCGTTACATTAACCAAATCTCCCAGTCTCTTGAGAATTCATGGTCAACATTAACGACTTGGGAGCACAACACATCTAACGAAACAAACCACCAAAGTCGATTTTAATCTTTTTATAAATATATAATTGGCCGCTTTTATTTCAAGTTGAGGACTTCGTTATTTTTCTCCCTCCATGTGTCGACTTAGCGTTTTTTCTTATATCTGGTGACTACTTAAAATTTTTCAGATCCACGGAAAATTCAAGTCTTGCGCACAAAATAATGATATGAGTATATAGCAACGAGACGAATCAAGGTGCGGCATGAATACAGATGTAGGGGGTCTATGAACTTTTCTGTTTAAGCAAAACATTGTGATGCCAGCATTATAAAAAAACACAACAGAAATCCCTTTCCCTATTGTGGGACCATCTATCCAGGTAGCCTTTTTACTGTGTCGCCTGGCTATCCTAGTATGTTTTCGTTATCACATACATTCGTCGAACTAAATCTTTATTGACTTTTGATCTTCAGTAAGAGCAACCATAGGCAAGGATAAGACAAATGCTTTCGTATTCTTATGACATTTCACAACTTGTATATGAACGATACAAACTCTTATATCACTTCTCATACGGATGTTGGATTAACATCACAAGTCTGATTCGTTGGTCATACTGCTTGGAATCATGGCGTAACGGATTAGTAGCCAGCTACATATAGAACGTACCTTTGCTTATTAAATATAATGGGTATTTGTCAACCCAAAACGGTACCTACAGTGCTATCCACAGCAGCTGAACGTATTGAACTTCACTATCAAAATCTGTCAGTATTCTAGCAAAAACATAAGAATTAATTAAACCCTGGCCATAGTGAAAAAGGGAGCGAGCGAGATATTTATTGTTCTTGTCGTTCTTCCTGCAACATTGGGAACGTCACTATAGGGATGAATTATCACTTGTTAGGTGGTCATTTATAAAATTATTAGACACTCTTTACCTCCAGATGGTCTTGCAGGACCAATAAAGGAAACAGTTCCTGCTTTCAACGCCTCGAGCAACTCATGTTTATCACATTGCATAGCATTAGGCTTCTTGAGAGGGTCAGATCCGAAATCCCAACCCTTGATTTCTACCTGCCATTGTGTATGGCGATAGTGATTCTCAAATCCTTCCACTTTACGGAACTTAGACCATTGAACGTCCATCTTCGTCATGCCACGCACCACTAACAAAATAAACACGAAGAATAAATATACCAGAGGGATATCTTAATAAGTAGTATGATAATACCTTTGATCAGGTCTTGGGTTAGGTTCGAGATTTGACCATTCAGTTCATTAGCATGGCGTGTATATTTAGGAGCTAGTAACTTGTGGTTAGCTATCATGTTGCGTAGAGAGTAAAAAACATTTATCATTACCACGCTCATCTTGATCATCAATGTGGCCTTCAAGAAATATACTTATAATTAGAGATTTGTATGTCTACCGAATCAGAAACATTATTTATATATACCTCTCTTCCTGGTCAATCGCTTGTTGAAGAGACCGGGCCATCTTTGATCCATTGCTCTATGGCCAGCTGTAACAGTAACATAAATAAACCAAGCAATACTTTATAATCTATAAACTTGAAAATGTACCTGGTGAAGACATCGGGGCCATTTCCACGTAGTCTTCTTCTTCAGGCGAGTTCAAAAGAAGCGAATACTCGATACCAAATTTGGTATTCATTTCGCCCAAGACCTTGCGCAGCAAACGGCGATAAGCCTTAAGGTGTCGCGTCCTGCCGTCGATAGAAACGTTCATTTCGAAGGCTTTCTTCTTTAGGTCAGTCATGAGCGTTTCGTCCTTCTTTATGGTGTCGTAGGCCGACTTCAAAACCGGATCAGCAGCACCCAGAGTAGCTAATCGATCACCCATAACGAAGCTGCCCCAATCTGTAAATTTGTTTATTAGCACTAATTCAACCTTTTGTACGTGTAAGACTGACATTGCTTTTCCTCTGGGCTGCCATTAGTAACCAAGTGTATGAAGGCCTGGTAAGTGGTCGTTTCTCGAACGAATTTTGAAGGAACATTTGTTTGTTGCACGTCTATGATCTATTTCAGCGATTAAAAGTTGTTATGGTGTGCTATATTTTTATTCGATTTGGACTGGGATTAGCAATGAGCTGGTGCTCAAAATTAGCCGAGGATGCAGAGGCAGTCACCGCCTCGGGCATCAAGGGCCTTCTGCCTGTGCAAATTTTATTATTGCTTTCCGCTCGCCGGAGCATACAATGTAGTTGCCACGGGTGACAATTGTACACTGCTACATAAAAACGAGGGTAATACATGCAGTCATGACTAGCAGCACTGATAGTGGGTCAGACAATGCAGACGAAGTTGCACTTGGCCAGATTGATGATCATCTCAGTCTTATTTATGGTGCCAACAACCTTGCAAATTTCACTTTTGATGCAGATCCACCTGAGGAAATTGCAGCTGTTCATCCACTGCTTTCCAATAAAGAAATTGTTAGTGCTGTTCTTAAAGTAGCTGATGATGTTGTTGACAACGGCAATGAAGATATTAACATGACTGTTGTTTCATCTGAACCTGTTACACCAGTATATAGTTTGCAAGAAAAAACAAGAATACTAGAGAAAACAATTGCTATTTTAGATGCCCCGGAACATCAAAACATCTGGAATGAGCTCAGAAAAGTCTGGGATGATTTCCACAAGAAAATCCAGAACAAACAATCCAGAATCACCAATTATTTTCAGTGATAAAACCTTTATGTAATAAATATAAAGCTTTATATAGAAAACTAGGAAGTGTCAGTGGTTCGATTCTCAGTGTCGGCGCTCTCTGGGGGGAATGGAAACCACTAGCGGGAAATTGCAGGTCCTGGTTTTGGGCTGCAAAATGCAAAAAGTGAGGAAACTGCAATTTTACCAAGTGATGAGCGGGATTCCTCCAAAAAAAGCTGCAAAAACTGAGGATCTGCAAAAAGTGGAGGTGCAAAAAGCAGGGGTCAACTGTAGTTACAACCATGCATATGAATCTTTTGAAACAATGATGCACTGAAACAGTCTTTTTAGTCATATCATCTATAGAAGCACTACTACTACAGTCATCTTCTTTACACTTGGGTTGAGGCCATATCAAAATAGCTATATACGTCTGATTGAAAGCATGGCAGAAGACTTTGCTTAATCAGTTGCAACCTAGCCCATCTGTCTGTCAGGTTGCAACTAGTAAGACATGAATGTACCTATCTCCAATACAAATAAGTATATTCAGAAACAATACATAAGCATCAATTATCTCCTCGCATCTAAAAATACCAGATGCTGCAGCGACTTGTTATTGTTGGATGGAAATCATGACAGATAGTTTAACCTACTTAGAAACCATAGCAGATGTTGTAGTTTTACTGCGTTTCAACCTAGTACACCGATCTGTCATAGTTGCAACCAGGACAGATAGACGTGCACAGTTGCGATTCTACGGCAGTTGCGTCTCACAATGTAAGCCAAAGCAATAGCAGGAAATAAACCTACCATACTACATATATAGCTAATAGACATCGTTTCAGTAGACTTGAAACTTTCTAAAACATCTATAATGATTTTTTACTCAAATTATGCAATAGGTTTACGATTCCAGCAACAAATTGTATCTAATACTGTAGCTTGAGGAGGATGTTTGAAACTTAGTTAAGCATTAGATTATCCCATATATAGCATTCACATTACATCAGAAGTTTTCTGATCGACTGAAATAAGCTGCTTGAAGTTGCGCAAGGATTTTTTTATCAAGGAAAACAATGAATATGTAATATAAGCAACGATGCGGTCAAAGACCTCTTATCAAAAAATAAAAGAAATAACATTAGTTTTATGCAGCATCATGCACATTGTGAAGTTCTACAACATTATTATAGCTATAGTTGATGGTATCGCTAACATCGATCGCAAAGAAGATACTTTTACTCAATCTACTTAATTGACTAATTGGAAAATAGTAATATATATCTGAGAAGTGAATGCCATGCCAACAATTGTACCTACTTACTGTCTAAGAGATTTTGCTACAGTAAATTAATTATATTCATGAATAAACATAGCAAACGTCTACCTAGTTACTAGGAGTAAAAAGTAGATTAAATATAGTTTATTAATGGAAAGAAAAATGACTCATGTGAGCACTGTGACTAATATAGAACATAGTCGCTCTAGTCCGATCCTGTTTGGTAAAGTGATATGAAAAAACCTTGAGGAAAATAAAGAGGAATAAAAGTACTATCACAGAGTATGCGATACGTGCAAATAATGGTGCTTAGTAGTAACATCTAACTGCTCAGGCTACGGCGTCATAAAAGGCGTGTTCTGGTTGCAACGGAAGCAGATGCAGCTGTCTACGTTGCAACCATGCCAGATGCTTCTGGCTCGGACAAAACTGTTGAACAGATAGGTATATGTATTTTATCGCACTAACTACTATTATACATTGTAAATTACCATTGACGGCATTTTACTAGACTCCTTATTTTTTCTATATTGCTATCTCTTCGTTTCGTTTCACATCGACAAACAGGTTGAGCCAGATACTTACGTTCTTGTGATGAATCGGTACAGTTTTCTTTCATTTTCTGAAAAAGGATATGATAAGCGTGAACAAAGTTTGTAGCTTTCATTCGGAGCTGGTACAGACTTTTGTTATTTAATCAGCGTTTTCGTTTAGGAGCTGATATCCTTCTCGATCCTTTATATCGCATTCCCTTTTGAAAGTCGAAGCTATGTCCTCCGCTACTGGTATTACGTATGTTTATCCTGACAATTAGTAGAAAGAATGACTTATAATGGTATTGATTGCCAATGTATAAGCAGTAACATGAAAGCGCTCAACGACTCCACTTTCAATACTCCACCCTAGCCCACGTTGCCTCAGTGTCGCCCGCGCCGCGCCTCCATGACACCTGGCATGCCAACGGAAACGTGGTACTCCGACAAGTACAGGCCAGCGCAATACCTGCTATATAACTACTGCATCAAGTGTTCCATGCAGTTTGCAGTGGATAACACTTATAAGCGGCACCTGGTTGATGTCCATAAGGTGCGATTCAAGCCTATCAAGCCTGGACCAAAAAGGACAGTATCACGAGTGATGCGAATTCTAAATAAGCGAGAAAATGAAGGAAGCGCGCTCGCACCAACGCACAAAGATCTAAAGGCAAAACCCGGGATAAAGCTGCGAAGAAACATCTGTACCAGCTCAATTGCTTAGTAAGTGCAGATAAACAGCTTCACAGATACCTTCAAATGTTTGAATATGTCAATGCAACAATCGATCAGATGGAATTCGGGCCGACAATCATGGAAAGTCATGAAAACTTTGGCGATTGCTGGAAGTATGCCACTTACAGCATTTGTGCCTTCGAAGGATGGTCGTTCTTCAACCCGACGTACAAACACTTCTTTGGGAACATGATAATGGAGAATGCGTACTGTGCCTACGACCAGCTATCGCCCACTGAAGCCTTGGTCGTTAACGACGCAGTCAGAATTGCACTGGAGAAGAAGGCACCCAAGTTCCTTGCCAACTATGGCCCAATGTTCCGTGCATTCCGCTGGATTGGATGCCCGTTGCTGGAGCGCGTCAATGTCGACTGCGGCATAGAGCGTGGTAATATTACTGATGATGACGGCGACGACTCGTCGTTAGTTTACGCAAGATATGAGCCAAGATTACGAGAGTGGGCGAGACTCCTTAGCAAGCAAAGCCCAGATTCAGATGCAGAAGAAGGAGCCAGAGGAGATGAGGAAGAGACAGAGCAAGATAGTTGTAGTAGTAGTACTGAAGAACATGGTGTGTATGGTAAAAACGGTAGCAGCAGTGGTGACGAACAGAGCTGGGAGTATAGTGATGACGACGATAATTGAGGAAGTGGAAAAAAGAGCGAAGGATTTTATATTTTAGTTATAGGCTTTATTATTCTTCTTATCGTTACTGCGGCCATCTATTGCCAGTTTGGTATATCGTATATAGAATGATCAGATTGATATATGAAAAGAGATATAGGGCAAGAACTAAACATTGTAGGTAAAGATGAACATAAGAAAGGCTGCAAAGGCAATGTGAATTCTATGGCGAACTAGTTCGTACACGTTATGACTGTGTGTACATTTTTACGGTTATCGACTTCAAAATGTACATAAAAAAGGGGTACTGAAGAAGATAATCTGATCGTTGCGATCTGTAATGCTTTGGTGCGAGTTCCTATTATCCCACTTACCTTCTCAGTCCTATAAACAGATCACCTAATGGTGTGCTCCTACGCTGAAGGAACATCAAATAACAAACTGTACATATCTAAAAGCGCTTATGTACTCAGTTCACGAAACGTCAATTTCCTTTCAAACTATCAGCAGTAGATAGTGCCAAAATTTGGAATAAAGCTCAATGATCTTACCATAGCCTTTCTTTTGATATCTAAACAATCTGATATGAGCTCTACATCTTAGTATAGATTGCACACTTACATGTGTAAGCGGTATATAGTGCCTATGCAGCTTGTTCTCAACAGTGATGTAAATGCACCGATTACTACGTTGGTTGCAGATGGAGTGGCGAGCATCAATCGGTTTAACCTTTCAAGAAATATCCA